ACGCATCAAGGAACAGCAAAAGGAGTTCACCAAACTCTTCAAGAACTTCGCCAAGCTCGTGCGTGACCACCTTGACTCAAGAACGTTTGTTGCTTTTGAGCTTTCCCGTCGCTGTCGCTATTGGCATTGGCCGTCGGTGTTGGCCTTCATCAAACGCCACAACTTGCAAGGATACAATTTCGATGGATGCATGTTTGTGGTGCGCGATAATCACGGTAATCTTATGCGTAAGAGTTGGCATATATGCACAAATCTTCATGAGCTTGCATGTCTTGAGCAATACATGTGCACACATGATCACACTCATGGGCAAAGTAGAGGCAAGTCATTGAAGAGTGCTGAAGGTTACACGTTTGAGTACACTGATCTTGTTCACCGCTGTTTTAAGAATAGCAGCTCAAGTCATTCAGCCGCCGTCGCGCAGCGCGCCCTGCCAGCGATCATTGTTGATCACACCATGTCGGCTGACCAAGACATGCGCAGGGAAACCTTGGACATCTTCGAGTCGCACTTTCGGCAGATTGTGGCCTCTGGCTACTACCTCGAAGATGGATATTCTGAGGACGTGGACGCGGTGCTGAATGGCGTCCTTGGCCAGCACACAGCACATTCTGTGCTGGCGGGCCTGGTCGAGAAGAACCGCTGGCTAGAGCCGGAGTTGGGCCCGTTGATTCGGACCTCACGGTATGATCTAGCCGCCTTCACAGGTGTGCCCTCGAGTCAAGATTACCAAACGGTACATGTCTTGATCTCTGATTCCACCTTGTGCTTGGTTAGCGGGTCGAAACGCAAACCCCAGAGGTTCGATCTGGCCGATCACTTTCAGGCCTATCGTCCAAGCTACTGCAAACATTTTCACCACGAATGCCTCTGGGGTGCAGAGTTGCCATTGTTGCTGAAACGAGCTCGTATTGCTGTGAGGAGCCTCAAGCGCCAGTTTCCAGGCTGCATGCTGCTGGTTGGCGTGGTGTGGTCTGGCAACGAGCTCATTGGCAAGAAAGGAATTGAAGCCCAGACTTCATGGCCCTTCGATCATCCTGACGGCGATCACTACACGGAGCTACAGGAGAAGGCGCAAGAGGAGCTGGTTGGGTTCGCCGCCGATATGTTTCGATACGGTGTGCACTCGGCCGCTCTCATCAGCGCGCCCGATCCTGAGACCTACAACTTCACGCGGCAGGGACCCTACAGCGACTGGTACAACCGGCTGAGTCAATGGTTCCAAGATGAAGTGTATGGTTCTCAGGTCGGCAAGTGTCGCTTCCGCCTAGTCAACATTAACGTCCTCAACACCCGCATGGACTTGCGTGACCAATGGCATTGCGAAAAATCGGACGAGAATGCAAATCATATTTTCTCATTTTGTCAGAGTGTATTCCACCTGCTCATGAGACTCTATGTTCTCGGAGATATCGCATTGGAAGTCGCTGCCACCAGTCCGATGAACCGTCCGCTCGGTGGACTTGAGCTTCGTGATGATCGCCTCCCTCCACATCAGCGATACGAAGAGCTCATGCGAAATCTTGCCGATGTCCGCCACAAAAGGGCAATCGCCGCAGCCGAGCTCACCGCTCGCGCCCTTACCAAGAAGGACGTTGCTGCGGAGCAGCCAAACCGTGCTGCGCCGATTACCGAGGCAGACATGGCCGTCATCGATGATGAGCCCGAAGAGGAGGAAGCTGATCCTGACCTTTCGGAGATTTTCGTCGCAAATGACGCCACGGCGGAAAAGATCCTCCAGCAACGCCTTGACGTCATGGAGGAAGAGCAGGAGAAGATTGCTGCAGAGCTGGACATCAACCGTGAAACCTATGAGGGTCGGCTCCAGACGCTTGAGGAACTCAGCCATCGCGTCGAAACTGGTCAGAACCCAGCGGCATGGCTCGACATCGATGCCAATGATGATGAGGTTGAATCGCCATATGAGGAGGTTGTGCCAGAAGAAAACGAAGAAGAAAGCGCACCTCATGGCGAGCAAGGCTCGGCCGCCATCACTGGCGTGCCCGAGCCTGAGGCAACCTCACCGCCGCCGGCAGCTGGTGCTGATGAAGGCCACGTCGTGTGCCCTCAGTACCTTGAAGACCAATATCACGAGTACACGTACAAGATGGCCGAGGTCGATGGAGCCTTCCAGCAGGTGGTCCAGCTTGGCGACAAGCAATTGCCGCTCCACTTTGCGAGCGGATGGGAGCTCAATGGCGGGCGCCTTTTCTTCGCGAAGCCCCTCAAGGATTGGCTCACCCAGTTATCTAAAGTTGTCCGACAACATGACCAATATCTGGGCCTTGAGGTTGACGAAGATGGCTACGCAGACTTGGACGAAGTAGCCAGGTGTTTCGGCCTGAATCACCGCAGTGCCCCGCCGCTCACCGTCAAAGACTTGATCGCCATAGCAGCAAAGGACAAGAAAAACCGATTTGAGTTTTTGGGCATTCGAGAAGGGCACAAACTCGAGGAGAAGGGCGTGGCACTATGGCCTCTGAAGATGCGTGCCGCTGCTGGCCAAAGCAAGCACGCGATCAAGAGCGCACAGGACAATTACAGATCGGCAGCCCTGATGTACTGCAGTCCTGCGCTCAGGCCAGAAGCCAAAGCTCCCTCCATTGGGAAGCCCATTGCCAAAGCGGATGAGATCCCTGCCTTGGCCTACCACCGCACGAGGCCAGCGTGCTGGAAGCGGATCGTCAAGGAGGGCCTCATTCCAGGCGGGGGCGAGTTTGTTGGCAGCGATCGAGCCCATGTCTACCTGGCTGCAAACCGCATTACGGAGACCGACTATCAAAGCGGTCTCCGCGGTAAGCACCCTATTCAGCTTACTGTTGCACTTCGGGAAGCAGTCGATGGCGGTCTCATCTTTTTCCAGAACCGCTCCGGTGGGATCATGACGGTTGACACGGTACCTCCAGAATACATTGTCTCCGTCGAAAACACCGAAAGCCAGTCCACACTCTGGACCAGGGTAAGCGCTGTTGGCCTACCCGAGGCTGCTCCAGCGGATGGAGGTGAGAGCCGGGCCGCCGTCACTGGCGAGCCCCGGCCAACCGCAAAAGCGATGCCTGTTTCCCTGACGGCAACTAGCAAATCGGCACCTGCACGAAAGGCTGCACCTTCGACTCCACCTACTTCCATTGAGAATGTGGCAGAGCAAGAGCAACCTGCAGCATCTTACGACGGATATGCTCCGCCCGAGCCTGCGGGGCCTCCACCTGGCTTTGATGCGCCGATCACCGCCCCGACACTTCGAAAGGGACGCAAGCTGACGGTGATCCAGGTTGAATGCAGCCAATGCAAGGGTCTAGTCCTCAGGGGCATGACCCACTGTGACATTTGTTCAGCCGAACTTGCCACCAACACCGAGCTGCCGGAGGAAGCGGTCACCAGACTCTCAGTTCTCCGAAAGCAGCAGCTTGCGAGGGCCGGCCTCGCTCGCACCGAGTGCCCAGTCAGTGACTACATCAAGGCTGGCCTCAATCTGCGTGTGGTGTCTGCAAGCGGCCGTGGAAACATGAGCCCAGAAGCGATCATGATCCAAGACGCTCGCAGCCGGATGAAGCGTGCAGACAAGTGTGGCTTCCAGAGCATCGAGGATCGCTTCGAGCATGACGTCCAGTTCATGGAACGAATGCTGCAAATGGGCTACGATCATCGGGCAGCGCAGCGGCAGGATTGGCTTTGCCATGCTCACTTGGCGAACCCGCCGCGCAACAAAGCGCAAGTCAGCCTGGGCCTTGGATATGACGAAGATCATTCTCTGGCACGGCTGGCCTACATCGACGTAGCGCCCGATCGCTTTCCACAAGCCATGGACTACATTCCTGAGCAATGGTGCGTGATCTATCGCACCAACATCCTCTCCTTGCGCGAGTACATCGAGTACCTCAACTCGCCCGACTCCCATCGTGGCCTTTTGGCCTGGGACGGTGTGCATCAGATGAGACAATACTGCGCATTGGAGGAGCTTCGCCAGCTATGCCACGACAACCTCCCCGCTGCCCGGCGTGACGTGGTCAACAAGCAGAATCAAGAGCAGCGCCAGCAGCAGGGCAAGGGCAAGCGCAAGTCCTCTACCGAAGGTGATGGAACTCCAGCTTCAAAGGCAAAGGGAGGTCCGCCACCTTCACCGGTGAGCCCACGTGCATCCGGATCAGCATCGTCCTCGTGGGGATGGAGCTCATGGAACTGGAGCGAGTGGGGCGAGCAGCGGCAGTGGGACCGCCGCTCGTGGGACTGGAGCTCGAGTCGGAGCCAGTGGCATTGGCGTTAGTTGAGCCAAGTCTCAACCTTTTTGCCTGAGCGAGCATAATTCATTGCATGACATCCATTGTCAATATATATGCGGTTTTCCTCCCAAGTCCAAACTTTCAATTCCTTTTGGCGGCGGGGAGTGAATAATTAAAATGCACGTACAGGGCCACGTAGGCAGTGGATTGCTAGCATCCATAACTGCCATGCAGCTTTGAGCCGACATCACTGTCGTGCCCTTCACAAGCCCTCGTGCACTTTCCGCGTCCAGCTTCGGGAGCTAAGCTACCTTAGCTGAGGGGGGTGTATTTTCACTCCATGTAATATGTACACTTTCTACCTTGCACATAATAGGATGTCATGCTGACTTCGCAGCTCGCGGCCCAAAACAGGAGTTGCAGCTTAACGGCTGTTTCTATAGGGACCGTAGCAGGCTTCCTGGAAAGTAGAGGAATGGCTGGTCTTCCAGGGGACCGAACTGCTCCACTTGAGTGTTTTACAGTTTTTGTGTGTTTTGGTTGGGGTGGTTTTGGAACAAAACATCAATCGCAGTACTAGTACAAGTCGTGCCAACTGTTTAATTATGAGGCACATTGCTTTCAGATATCGCATTTCCCTTCCTTTGTGTTTGAGAAGTTCTGGTGCTTTCTGTGGTTCTAGCACATTCCCCTTTTGCCGACCGGGCACGTTTTCAACACTTCCCAGAGGGAATCTGGGAATCCTATTCTTCACCATCCTCGGTGCCTGCAGCGGTCCAGGATCTGGTGATGAAAGCCGTGAAGCAGTATCCTGATGCTTTGGCACCTGGTCTTCAACTCTGGGCTGTAGCAGTGGCTGTAGCATTGGCTGTAGGTCTTGCTTGTAGCGGGTTCAGCCGCCCACTGCATTCTGCTGCAAGCAACCGCCCGGGTGTAAGGAGTTTATCCCAAAGCATTTCCTCAAGGATCCAGATGCTGGGCTGCGAATGCGGCGGCGCGTCGTCGACGCGGTGGCCCTCAAAATCGCCTGGGGTGGTCTGCCGTGGTGGTCTACCGCCTTTCATTGAAAGGACGTGGTTCTTGGATGTTCAACAGGTGCCCTTTCAAGGCACCAGAGCCTGGTGGAAGTCCTTTCAAGGGGTGAGAGTCCTTTGATCCTGATTGGTGCAGAGTCTCTGAGGAAGATTGGTTTCAATAAACTGATTGATGAGACTTGGGACTTCATGGGGCTTCATGAAACTTGACGGGACTTGATGGGACTCAGACCAACTCTGTGAAAATCATGATCTTCAATTGGTTGGAATTGTGAATGTCTTTCTTTTTGGCAGAACTGATTGGACTCAGAATGACAGAAGTGATTGGACTCAGACATACTCAGACCAGTTGATGCCAAGTTCAAGTTCTGTGGAATTGTGATGAATTGTGACAATTGTGTGGGTACCACTGGGTCACTGGATGATGAAGGCAACCACTGCTCTTTTCATGCTCTTTGGTACCTGCGTCAAGACCAGAACTGCTTCCCCCAATCCTGCACCAGCTCAAAAACCCGTTGTTCTGGTTGAACCCTGAAAATGAACAGATTCCCCTATATAAGGGATGTCAACCATGGAAGGTTTCTGGATGTTTCTAGGCTGAGGTTTTGGACAATTTGGTTCCCCACACCCATTTGAACATGTTCACATTGGGCATCCTCGATGTGATTCTGAGAGATTCGGAGCTGCATGGACTCCGCGCCCCGTTCGCGGCCTCAGTCCGCGGTCAAGGATGTGATTCGATGCGCGGTGGAGTCCGATGGGACCTGCCTCTCTTACGCGCATGAAGACTTACGAGGTTGGAATCTGAAAACACGGAGAAATGCGGACTGGTTTGTTCTGTTGCCAGCCTATACAGGAGTGGCTTTCATGGAGAAATATGTGCGTTCTTCCTTAAGTAAATGGCCAATCAACTAGCTTTGTATTGGTTTGCTGTTGGTTTCGACAGCCTGAGAGCGTCAGATGAGCCTAACAAGAACTCAAGCACAGCTTGACAAAAATTGCATTCTCGGATGGAGTTTTAGATCCAAGTCCATTTCTTGGGTCTCCTACTGCAGCGGAAGCTGAACATGGCAGAGATTTGTAAAGGTCAACTATGTTCCAGTCGCTGATGCGGCTGAGGAGAGAACATGCAATTGTTGGTTCATGATCGACATGATCAACATTTGCACAGATGAAAACCATGGCAAAAGCCTCCAGATGTGATTGGCCAGTGAGTTGCTTCCTGAGAATGAATGAGCATGACACATTAAGGAGTAGGTCTGTGAGAGGCTGAGAGGTCTGAACTGACTGGGACCTTAGGTTTTGGCAGCCGCTCAACCCCTCTAGCTCTCTCTAGGTAGCTCTATGGCTGGGTTTACGGTATGGCCCTCTTTAGCTGGAAGGTTGCTTGCTCCATTGGCGTGGGCATCCACAGCAGGCTCACAACATCCAGTTGATTGATTGATATCCTCACAGGACATTGATATTCCACTTAGTTTCGGGATTGTCCTAGATGTTCTATGTCCCAGACCCATTCTGATAGAACGACTAAATCATCACCTTCGAAGACTTCAATCTCTTGGTCGTTGGCGCAGGCGATGTTGACCTGGTTTTCGCGGCAGTTCAGCAGGAGGGCATGGCCCTCGAGTATGCCAGTGAAGAGCTTCAGGCCTGAGCCTCCAACTGTTCACTTACACTCCCGACACTCCCTAGAACTAACATGGAAGTGGAGAATGGCCCCTTGGAAGACCACGTTCCATTACAAACAGGTGGTTTTCAACTTCCATGTTAGTGAGTCGGAGTGTCTCAATCTCAGACATGCCATGGCGGGACTGGCATGTTTACACACATTCACCATCATGGACCCCTTTTCAAACACCCCAAAATGCCAGTCCCATGGGTTTTCTTGAGCCAAAAGAAGCGTCATCCTGGTGTTTTTCTCCAGTCACCATGCTGTCGTCGAGTGGGGAGAAGGCGGAGAGACGTCCTGGTTGGCAGGGCAGGGTTCAGATCAATCAACGAGAGGAATGAGCCTCTTCTATGCGGGATTCCTGCGTCACGCAGAACTGCAATTCTGCGGAACTGCTGAACCTTTGGGATGTGCTTGTGGATTTGAGTTGACTGCATTAATTACCTAACTTGGGGCCGTTTTAAAGGTGCAGTGCCTACACATGTTACAAGCAGGCATATCTCGAAGAACCAATTATGGAAACAGCAACAACAACAACAACATCAACAGAAAGAACCAGACCTGGTCGGGCTCATTGCCCCGCACTGCGCTGGTTTCCGAGTCATCCAGATGCCCCCGACAGACCCACCGAGACCCACCGACAACGGTGCTGGGACTTCCGAGCGGTGATCTTAACTTGAGCCTATCCCCGAGGGTTGAGTCAGGTGCTCACCATACCTAGAGTATCCTAGAGTCAGTCCTAGAGTCCTTGGATTTGTCATGGTCAATGGTCATGGTCATTGTATGTCATTGGGGTTCCGAGAACAGTCATCCCAAGCCAGGTAGACGTTCACCACCTTCACTGAAGTTCCAGCGTGAAGTAGCACTGGGAATTCTACACATTTGCACATGTCGATTTGTTTCCACCGGTTTGTCTTATCAGCCAATCCTTTTATGGGTGTGTAGGGAAACCTAAAAGGCCCCGTCGAAGAAGGAACACTGACATATTGGTTGGGTGCTTCTATTGAATCACACATGCCAATGCCCGTGTATAAAATGGTTCATGCACCTTGGACAACAAACCTTAATTAAGACACCGTCGTTTCTCGGGAAACATGTCTCCAATTCCCGTATGTGAGCTGTATGTGATCGAGAGGGCATGCCATTCGCAAAAACACCCCTCCCTCCAAAAAAACACTGTTATTTTACATGTCCCATGTGAATTCCTCTATCCAAGAAATTCCAGAACTATTTGCATGTCCCATTGCTGTCTTCCACAGACTCGCGCCTTACCCTCGGTCTAGGCAGATCGCCGCCTGGTGCTCGCCGCACTCCGCGCGGACGGCTCGGCGCTGCAGTTTGCGGGCGATGCCCTGCGGGAGGACGAGGAGGTGGAGACCAAAGGATCTCCTGAGGAAGCTCGGAAGGTCTAGGAGGGATAATTAGTTGTTACTAAGCAATTAGCCTTCTAGGTTCTTTTTTGGTGAGATGAAGGTGAAATTGACATAGAATCACAATGAATATTATCAATGAATCACATAGATATGGTAGTCGATCGAAAGGTCGACATAAGGTTTATGCCACTGAGAGCCTCTTCAAGTTGTCCGCGAAAGTTTTTTCTCGTTCGCGAAAGTTAACTTTTTTCTGGCGAAAGATTTGCGAAAGAGCCTATTATACTATATATTGTATACATGAAGAGGCGATACCATCATCAGTGATTTGCAACAGTGCTGTGTGAGCAGCAACAACAACACTTACTACTACTACTACTACTCCTACTACTACTACTACTACTCCTCCTACTACTCCTGCTGCTGCTGCTGCTGCTGCCACTGGTTGTTACGCTGTGCGCCTAGAAACCCACCAATGACGCGACAGTTTTTGGCGAAAGATTCGCGAAAGTTCCGCGAAAGCATAGGCGAATGTGAAGGTTTGTTTTGTGGACCCCTGCCCAAGCCAAGCAGCGACTCCTGGCTGGACATTCCCGTAACGACTTCTTTGAGAGGACATGAGAGGACACACGATGAGTTTAGGGAAACTCATCACTTCTGTGACGAACATGTTTCCAACCTCATGTTCCATTCCTAGCTTTGATTCTAGCTTCCTCCTGGCCGCGATTTCGACACGCCAACGCTCCCTCAGGTGGTCTATGCGGCCCTACGCTCAGACGGCTTGGCGTTGGAGTTCGCACATCCCAGCAAGTGGCCCGGAGCGGCGAACCGAGGTGGTCGGTTCCTGTTTTTTGTTGGGCGTTCCAGTTGGTGAACCTCGGAGTCCAAGGTCGTATAGGGAGCGACCTGGAGAGGAGAGGGGGAGAGTGGACATTCAGCGACCTGGAGAGGGACTTTGGGCCCCCACCAGTTGCGAGCACTATCAATTCGCCCCTCCGTTTTGGGGACGTGGCTTTTGCACTAGATGATTTTGAGGAGGGTCACATGTGGTTCTAGATTTGTGTAGTGCCTTTGAGGTCCCCTTAGCACATCGCAGAACGCCCACAAGGATCCAGCCAGCCAGCACCATGGCATTGTAGTTTTGTGCATGTTTGTGCATGTAGAGCCTTTGCAGATATGCCAGAAGAAGATGATCATTGATCATCCTTTGGTCCCAATGAATTGACCATGCAATCATTCACCACCTGGGACATGCAATTCCAAATTCAATGAATGTGGCAGTCCTGGGCAATGATCAACGGCCACCAACATGAATGTCCTTGACTGACTGGATTTAGGGACAAGCAACTGAGCAGTGGATGGTTGGGTTATGTTATTTTTTTTGGGGGGGTGGGGGGTTGGCAAACTCCCAGTGCTTTCAGTGCCAGCCAGGCAGTTGAATATAGAAATGTCCAATCCTTGTAGTTTGCTCACTTTCTGGGTTGGTGGCCTCGTCCGGAAAAAGGAGCTGTATACATAGAGGAGCCTGGCCAGGAAGGGCCAGGTCACCACATCCATCGCTTCCGTCTTACAGCCGAACCAAGGCGTAGCGATAAGGAGCTGTTGCTCTTCGCCATTCGGAAGGAGCGTCCGTGGCGACTCGAAACGCCCGCGGGGTCGGACTAGCCGCCGAACCCGGCGATCTATGGAACATGTTCCATCCAGAGGTCAGTGAAGGGCTGTGAACCTCTAGAGGGTTGGGCATAAGACTTCATGCTCCATTTAGCGAGGCAAATCTGGAAGAGCCCCACCGCCTCCGGTGATTCTTGTCATTCGGCAGTGAAATACGAAAGAAGGTGATTAGTGTAGAAGGTGAACACAGTTGGAAGGCATGACATCTTTTACTTATATAGCTGCTTGACTGACCAGATTTCTTCAAAAGAGCACAGTTGTGGCGTCTTTTGCTTAGCTGCTTGACTGACCAGATTTCTTCTTACAAAAAGGATCTATATATAATATACATCATTATCATTATACATGCCACCTCCGGAGTTGTTAGCCAAAAAGAACCGGCCGAAGCAGCGGGTGGCCATACACTGGACTCTTTGGCCACCTCCACCGGCTTTTCGTAGCCCCCAGAGACCCCAAACCGGCAGACCTGTAGGTGTTTTTCCCCAAACAGTTTACTGTTGGGGGTTGTATATTTAAAAAAAAGCTGGCCACACTCACTGGCCGCGCCCCTGAACTCTGTGGCTGGGCTCTGTGTCCAGGCCTTGTCCTCCTCTTGTCCTTTGTGGCTGGGCTCTGTGGCTGGGTAGTGTTTTCTTCTTGTTTTTGTCTTGTCCTCCTCTTGTCCTTGTCTTGTTTGCGCCCCTGAACTCTGTGGCTGGTCTCTGTGGCCCGGTTTACTGGAGAGGAGTGTGGCCGAACAAACAGCGATGTCAATGCCCAAAATCATTGATGAAGCAGTTTGCCCTTGGGGTGAAGGTAGGGCGTACCAAGAAATCAATTTTTTGACTAATATTGGCATTGGTCTAAACGAATCCTTTTGAAGCTGTTTGGGGTCTATGCTTGCATAATTTGTAAACATTGTTTCTTCTAAACACGGGGGGCAAGTCGATTTCGCAGCTCCCAATAGGATTGTGGCTACTATAACAAATAGCTCGTAAAGGTCAGGTGATCTCAAGCTTTGTCCATCGACAGCAACATAGGAAGGTGCTTAGTGCAGGAATCGCCAAATCCAGCACCATCAGGTGAATGGGTCAAGTTGAATCTATCTATCTATCTATCTATCTATCCATCTACCTATCTAGACAAGGGATATGACAAGGCGTATGCCTCCCTGATGCGTGACTTCAGAAGGAACTGTCTGGCTGCATCGGAGATTTGGACCATGGACGCACTTCGGGAGGTCTTGACTACCCATCATATCGTGCTCGAACCTGAGGTCTTGGAGTCACTTGTCAGAGGCTTGGTGTTCAGCAGATTCCCGAGCGTGCAACAGGCTTATTCTGAGCTGACCACACTTGGTGATGGGATGACATTCAATGAACTCATGGCTTTACCAGCGAGGTATCGCCTGATCCATTTGCTTACGAAGCTGCAGGCAATCGCTGGGGTACCACATGATGGGAATGGTGGATTTCCAACTGGGCGCATGCAGTTGTTTTTCACGCCCTTTCAGCTTGCCTACGCCCTATTCCGTTGCGCCAACAAGGTGGTGATCAAGCGCGGCAAGATGTACGCCATCTGCGGACATGAGTATTGCATTGCAGATTACACAGCGTTGCGGTCACCAATTCAACGGGCCTTTGTACCGATGTATCATGGCACTTTCCGAAGCAATCTTGTCGGTATCAAGGAGAAAGGCCTCCTTCCGATGACCAAAGATTGCATTTACTTTTCTTCGGTATGGCCATCACGAGGCTTGGTGCCCGGAAAGGGGGACTCTCCGTTCAATGCAGTGGTCATTGTACGTCAAGCTCCGCTTGTAGCTCAGGAAGGTGTGACATCTACGCAAGTCCTTCATGTTTCATCGTGGTCCCGAAGGTCGCAAATCCTGGTAGAGGCTTTGGCTGTGCAAGCTCAAAATTTCAACACTGGTCTTTGGGAGGCCTGGGAAGGGATGCCTACGGAGGCACCATGAAGTCAATCGCGAGTCAACGCTTTTCTGCTTTATCAGTGGTGAAGGAAGTTTGGACAATTGCGGATGATGCTTTGCCTGGAGGGAAGCCCACACAGTTTACTGTTGCGGTTCTATCTTAGAAAAAAAGAGCTGGCCACACTCTGGCCGCGCCCCTGAACTCTGTGGCTGGGCTTTGTGGCTGGGCTCTGTGTCCAGGCCTTGTCCTCCTCTTGACCTCTTGTCCTCTGTGGCTGGGCTCTGTGTCCTGTCGCCTGTAACTGGGCTCTGTGGCTGGGTATTGTTTTCTTCTCTTTTTTTCTTGTGCTCCTCTTGTCCTTGTCTCGTTTGCTCCCTGAACTCTGTGGCTGGGCTCTGTGGCCCGGCTCTGTGTCCGGGTCTTGTCCTCCTACAGCGATGTCAATGCCTAAAATCATTGATGAAGCAGTTTCCCCTTGGGGTGCAGGTAGGGCATACCAAGAAATCAATTTTTTGACTAATATTGGCATTGGTCTAAACGAATCGTTTTGAAGCTGTTTGAGGTCTATGCTGGTAAAATCTGTCTTACAAAGGTGCTGGGACAACCTTGCTTGATTTGTGGCGCCGGTCAACAGCCTGTGGTGGCGGCTCACGCAGCAGTGGCAGAAATGGCCAAGGACATGGCCAGTTGCTTGCGCGACAACGTGACAACTTGCTCATCCACATAGATCCTGAAGGAAGTGGAGCGCAGGACATTCTCTTTGACATCCTTTACAATATTGCAAAAGTTCTCAGGCACCCAAGGCCGACTTGACCCTGAAGATGAAAGTCCTCATAATCTCATCGCCACAGCTCTTCAAGCTTGGGTTCGTCGAGCTATTGGGTTGCGCCCGACTGTATATGACTCTCCTGTAGGGTCGCTTGCTGACCTATGTGCAACTTCTTTGAACTTGAACATTCACTGGCGAGCTTGAGGAATTTACGACTAGTCCCGGCACTGCCCTGGCGAAATACGTGCCAGCCGCTCCATTGATCAACAACTCGATGCAAAGAAAGCCCGTACAATTGAACAATAGCGATGACGGCCTCCTGTCGAAAGTGGATGGTCAGAACTTTTGGAACCCTTCATGGTGTGTTGGCAGAGGACTTTGAAGCTTCTGACTGCGCGAGACAGCGGTCAGCCTTGTCACGTGCTGCCATGACCGGGACCCAGCTGCTGGCCTGATGGTGCTCTTGCGCTTTGGCTCCGCGGCTGCGCTCCTGGCTTGGATCCTTTGGCACTGGTTTTGTGGCTGCCCCACCGCAGAGAGGATAGCAGTCCCGGTCCCAGTCCGGGATTCTTCCGATGAGGCTCCTCGAAGCAACTGGACATAGCTCACGGAAGAATAGAGGTGAGGGTAGAGGATCAGCTAGGGATCCTCGGGAGGGAGGAGGCCAATTTTTTCGGATGCATTTTGCCTTACTCCAAAGTGCCTAGCACAGGGCAACAAGCATCCTCCGGGACAACCAACAAACCCCCTCTTTTGATCAATGCCGACGAATTCGAAAACGTAGTTTCGCTCGTATGCAACGACGGCTACAACTGCATGGTTTTGCAGTGTATCATGGAAGAGTGTTTCTCTCACCTGTCAACCTAGACACAGCAGTGAACGCTCCAAGTTCTGTGACGAGCAATACTCCTCCTAGACGCAGACCGAGATTGACACACCTTTGTTGGAACTGCAGCTCCTTGACTTCAGAGTCCTTCAGTGAGTTCATGCTGTGGATCTCACTTCAACAAGTTGATCTGGTCTTTCTTCAATCTACCCACTGGTCATTGGATCAACGATGGACCAGCCTCATCAACATGTACCAATTCACCACTCAGAGTACTCAAGCAAGACCTGACCCCTACGGAGCACGCAGCAAGATCTGGCAGGCTCCTCAGCATCTCCTCCTTATCGGAATACTCTGATTGTTGGAGGGACTTTAACACTACAATGACCTCAACACGACGCTGCGCTTTCCAAGATGTGGATGTGCTCAAAGATGTACTACGTACTTTTGGCCTCGCCTCACAGATGACTCGTCTCCAACGTTCATTGGCCCCAGGGGGAGATCAGTCATTGACTATGTGTTCATGCGGCGTGACCAAGCAGACAAAGAGCACTCTGCCTCTCACAATTTCCCCTGGTTCAACACAGACAGTATCCAGATCATCTCCCCATCCTGCGTAGCATCCCGGCCAACTGGAAGGTCTGGTACCGAGCTACCTCCAAATCGAGCACCTTCTTGACCAAACAGGATGTTCACGTCATGACATTGGAGCATCGAGCCAACACCGAGCGCTGGCAGGACTTCATGCACAGAGCTGAGAATCTCCTGGCCAACTTGACCAAACTAGGCAAACAGATGTTCTCCCAAGAGACCACCCGCAAACTTCCTATGTGGGTGGAGGCCAACACACGTTCCTTGGTAGCTCGCAAGTGGCGGCGCCTGCATCATGCGCGGATGGCACATCAAGGGAGTGCAACATTGACAACATGTCTTCAGGCTTGGAACCGTGTCACTGGTTGCACAAACAGTTAAAACAACACTTTGCCCAGCTGAAGAAAGACAGAATGAGACGGATTGCAGCAGAAGCTGCAAGGGCAGCTGCTGCTCTATACCAGGCTATCCGCACTCTTACCCCGAAAATGGTGAGACAGACAGGCTGTTCGGTTTCGTGGGAAACAAGGTGAACTTCTGACAGCCGACCAGGAGCTTCAGTGTTTGGATCAACACTTCCGACCCATCTTCCAGGCTGCAACAGACACACCAACATATACAGCATGTGCACCAGCTCTTCTCACTGAAGAAGAACCTGTCCTGCAGTTGAGTCAAACAAAGCTACACAAAGCAGTTTCTCCAGATTCGCTTCCGGCTTTGTTGGTCAAGGCACTGGCTCCGGCCCTGGGAAGCTGGCTTCATCGTCACCTGCATCAACATCGGAGGACAGCACCGCAGATACCCTCAAGATGGAAAGATGCAACTTTAGCACTCCTACCCAAACGACGAGTACACA